ACGGAGGAGTGCGTTCGGAAGTAGTAGTTTCGCATGTGCAGACTAGTACTGCTGCAGGTCGTGTCGGCTACCGAATGTAGGCAAGAAAAAATTATGCACCCTGGGGGACGCATGTAAGCCATGCACCCACGCCATTCACAGGCCGAAAACATCCCACGCAGGAAAAACAGGGCGAAGAACTGCAGCTTCGAACCTGTTTATTTAATCGGCAAAAAATTGATTTTCAAAAGCATTTCTGGTACTTCAAAACATAAGATTCTCTGCTATGGGAGCGGCATGAAACCGGCTAAAAAGTCTAACTTCCAACTCTAAACCCTGAACCCCAAACCCACCCGATAAGTGCTAGGATGGCGCTGGCTAAGCTCTAGGTTGGTGTGCCGGCATTGGCGCTAGGTTGGTGTTGATGGGAGAGTTTCGAGGATGCTTTCTCTTGGACATGTCCCACCAGGTTGGAATGACGCGAAAAATCAAGGTTGTTACTGCTTGGGTAGGTGCTACAGCAGTAGGTTGGTGGTACTTGGAGAAGGGCTAGGTCGCTCTTGGGTGGTAAACGGTGCTCGTGCAGGCCTGTATAGGCGGGACTGCTCAATGTGGGTGCATGGCTTATTGTGCGTCCCCTTGGGTGCATCGAATATATCGTATGCAGGTATCGACCGTGAGCGTCGTGGAAACAACATGCAACAAAGGAAGAGAAGCCGCCGGCATTGTCACGGTCTTCGCCGAGGCCACGGAAAGTCGACGTCGCGCCACACGTGCTCACGCCCGCACATGCAAAAGCCACGTCAGAATCCCCCCCTCGGCTGCGTGCGCTACATGGCAAGCGTAATGCCGTGTGGGAGGTGCTCTATGCTTGGTGACACGCGAACAACCAGCAGAAGCAGCAGACCAGCGAAAAAACCTTAAGAACTTGCAGTTCAACAATCCGTGGGTCTTGCCGATATCAGCTCAGGGCATCCTACAAAAAGGCCTACCTACCTACCACGGAGTACACGTTATGCACGTCATGTTCAACGAATTTGACACCGGGCAACTGCTGCAGTGACAACACCCCTTTTCCGGAATGGAACTGGAGTAAAAGGTGTAACTTCATCGACATCGACTGCCATTACCGTGTGTTCGGCGTGAGGGGGGTGAGTCGTCGACACTCTCGAGAGCATGAGTCATTACCAGGGGGGATGGCGCCCTTCTTACCTCTTGGAATGAGAGCGCGTTGGCCGCGGTCTCGGGGTAGAATTTGAACTCATCTTCTGAAGGGGGGGCAGTGGCACGTGGTTGTAGGAAGGGAGATAAATAAGCACGTCGCACGGTGGGCACTGGCGCACACAGCATGTGTTGTGAGATCTCGGGTACAAGAACAACAGGACGACAGGTCCAGCATAACTATGGCAGAGGTGTAAATTATGTTGCTCATTCCTTCTGAGCACTAGGAACAGCAGTATCTGTAGAGAAAGCAGCATTCTTGTTAGAGTCTAGACTATATTCTTGCTGTTCACAGACAGGGAGGGTACCGTCGAAATGTGTAGGACTGCTGTATCACACATACATTTAACAACTATAGTACAGACGGTCGCGGCAGCTGTCAACGTGCAGATGCTCACATACTCAATGTCTTGAACTTCTCCAGCTCTCCGGTAGGTGGACTCAGGAACCCTACTGTACTGTACTCTACATGTACCTGCAAGGTCCATCTCGGCACGCCGAAACGGTGTTGGGGAATACATCTGCAGCAGTCCACCAGCTCTCACTGCAGCGACGGCCAGCTGGCTACGACACACCAATAGCTGTACCTCAGCGGTTGTACAACGCATATGTTCACTTGCTGTCGGTAGCGTGAGATACCACATCCCGTGGCCTGTCTGGACCAATATTCGAAACTCGACGACTCCACGGCGAAGAGGATGTCAAGATCAAGATCAAATGACACCTTTTCGGAAAGTTCTAGACGACGCAGTTCCAACACCACCATTTGCGGCGCTATCCTTGTGTCTTCTGCAGAGTTATCGAGCTTTGAAAATCGGTCCACGGGGTGTGGTATCTAATGCAACCTACACTACATGCATGCATAGCTTTGAGAACTACTACACAGCAAGGCCTGTTCGGGTGTGCACTTTCTCGCAACACCTACATCAGAGCTATTTCGCACCCATTGCATCTCTCTCACCACGAGAAGCCATTATCGCAGCAAGCAGTTTCAGGAGCGTGTGTCGGACACCGGCTGTGACACAAAACACGGGAGACAGCATCCGCGAATTCGCGGGGGGTTTCGAAGGTGCAGGAGCGTTTTCGTAACCGGCGGGAGTCCCTCCATTCTCCATTTCTCCATTCTCCCGACTCCGACGCGGCGAGATCTCCGCCGTTTGAGGAGCACGTGCAAAAACAGATGTAAGATTGTAAGTGGTCGGTGAGAGGGATTGTGCGTGGAAAAGAAGGAGAGACTCCAGGCAAAACCTTTGCTACCCTACAAAGAAGCTGACGGCGGCAGAGGGGTGCCGTGCGAAAGACAGCGCGCATGGCCTCTGCCGTGCAACAGCTGTTCTCCCCTTTGCCTGATTTGGGCGATCTGAAAAGTAGGAACAGCAACCGCGACGCTTTCAGTGGACCTGCCGCGAGCGAAGCTATCTTTGGTGCCCAAACACCTACATCATCAGAAGACCCAGCCTCGGAGCGCATCGACCCCGTCCTCCTCCTCTCGCGCCCAGTGGAAGGATTTAATCATCCCCGGCAGCACTTGTTCACCGACCGGCTATTGGGGCGTTTTTACGAGGACAGCTCACTCGACGCCGAGACACGAAAAACGAGCAAGTGCCTCGCGGGTAGACTTGGTACCGCAGGTAGCAAAAACACCACCAGACCCAGCACGACCGCAACCACAAAGCCGCACTCCCGCTCCTCTCACTCACGGACGACCGCAAGACGGAGCGGCAAACGTATGTACGGGAGCACCTCGGCTCGGGCGTTGGACAGCTCACGGGGATCGGGGCTTGCTGGAAGAAAAGAGCAAGTGCAAAAGGAAATCCTGGCGCAAAAGGAGCTGATTGAGAAGCTGGAGGGGAGGGTGGCATCGCTGTCCGGTCGAGGAGGGCGCAGAGCTGCACCACGGGGGTCGTGGGTACCACCTCAAGAGGAAAGCGAGAGGAGTACCACCGGTCGACACGATATCGAAGACCGACCTGCAACGACGACGGACGCGGTGAGGGAACGTAGAGTCCGCGATGATCATGAAATCGGCCTTGCCGTGCAGGCGTGTAGATACCGGCCTCGACGACATCGGTCCATTAACAGCCTCTGTACACAAAGCGATTTTCCCTTTGATCGCCGATAACAACGCCGTGTGCAAGCTTGTTTACCCTTTTGAGTTTTCAGGCGTTCTGACTGATCATTGATTGATCATTTGCAAATGCTGGTGTAGTGGCAAGTCGTGGAGTTGCCGCCCTGCAGCCCTTCGCGCCGTGTATTGGCAAGTCCATAGGTAGGTGTGTCTAGATCATTAGCGCCCGCGCTAACCGGCTGACCAATGAAGAGACGTCAGTGACAGCGGGTAATATCAAGGTCTCGGGAATGGGGCCAATCAATACCAAATCGTAAATCTCTCAACGTTTGTACATGAACGTGTGTTTGGATACATAGTCTACATGCATACATATGTGTTCTTTAACAGCACCACACACACTACACCGAACGTAGGAAGCCACTGCTGCAAAGAGCAGGGGGGTGCAAAAGGGAGGGGTATTACAAGCCCTGCCGAAGCCCAGATATCGAGGATATCGTGGTATGCTGCATCTCCCAACAATTTGAAAGTTGTTCCCACGATCCAGCAGTTATTGTGTCAGCAGCTACAACAAACGCTACAACACTACGACTGCTGTAGACGTGTAGAACATATCAGCAACAATCCACACTCGTAGCGCCACACATACCCTCTCCCGAACTTAGAAAGCGACGAGGTACAGGTGTGTCCTGGTGGATGTGCTTGTTGTTTGACACAGGAGCTCTATAGAGCTGGCAGGGCACATTTCGGGGGGGGACAGAGAACAGACAAGTACAGAAGTGCAAACACCAGCTAGGGGTCTTCATTGATCATTTTACTCTCTCTGGACTGATCATTTACAATATACCGAAAATAGACTTGTTGAGGCAGCTAGACGACTGATCATTTCAAAGTCTACACAGCTAATCTGCCCTACTGACCGCAGCGCGACCACCATCAACCCTTCTACGACCCCGTCTGTGGCCACCACCCTGTCGCCGGCTTCCCTCATGGCCTACAGGTGGAGATGGCTGTTGCGTGTGCAGAAATACACTGCTGTCTTTCTCTGCACTTCTCTCTCTCCCGCTCGCTCCCGCTCTCATATTTTTTCATCGGCGCAAAAAAAGAATCTGACAGTCCAGCCTAGACCCAAAGGGGTTAACACTGTGACCCATGTGTACGTAGGCGACAATTAACCGCAATGAAAACCGATCATGAAAGATAGTCTTCTTGCATATATAGGCGTTCGGGACGGAATCCATGCCCACATGCCCTGCTTGTACTTTCGCCAACGACTTCCATCTTACACTCAAGTTAGCTTCGATCATGCAACAGAACAACATGGCTGCTTTGAGCTCATCATGGGAAGTAAATGTTGTCATGTCTTCAATGAGGAGCACGTTGACGATTGAATGACGACATGGTCATTCATATGTCACGCACCCGTTCACTGCAAGGAAGGGCCACGTTCATAAATTTATTGTACTGAAGCACATCTACTCGGGGCCACACACCTTCATTGTGTAAAATCCAGCGCTCATAGTCACGTTTTAAACGCAGCTGTTATGCTTCCAAATTTCCACATATCCAAACTTGAAATGTTTTTGTTCCCGGCCGCAACTCGAGGTTCTATGATCTACGGGATTGGAAATTTGGAAGCGAAAGAACTGCTGTTTACAACGGCCCCAAGTATTCGCGTGTTAGGCTCTGTTGGGTTCCGGAGTTACAGAGGCTCTCAGTATCATTGTGCATTATGCGCAGGGTGCTCTTCCTTGGATGCACGAGTATCGACGAGCACAGCTTTTCAACACCACTTATTGTTGTTTCTTCGCCGCAGAAGCAACTCCATGGGGAAGAAGGTGATCACGATCTTGGCGGAAGCGCAAAGTGGAGGGGGGACGGAAAGAGCTCCTTCCAGGAGGTGGCAGATCATGGGCCGATTGCTCGCCGAGATTCCCTCCGTCGTTCGAGCCAGGCCGAGTCGCAAGCAGGATACCGAGGCCGACAACGTGAAGAACAGTGTGCGGTGGCAATCCAACGGAACGTGCGGGGGACCAGCGGACGAAAGAGGTTCTTGACGCTACAGGCGGCCAGGGAAGAACTTGAGCGCTCCCTGCAAGCGTTGGCGTCCGCCGCCGCGTTAGCTCTGGCGCACCGGCAACATCAGCAGGACCAGCAGCCGAACGACGGCAGGGGGGCGGAGGTCGACAGCGAGGGCAAAGCGAAGAACGTCTCCATAGCCGCCGAGCGACTGCTGGAGACCAGCCGAGAAGACGGCCTCGCGAAGCCACCGTTCAAGATCCTCCGAGCCATATACTGTAGCCTCAGCGAAGCTACCCTTGCCGTAGCGTGCTTGTCGGCGGCAGAGGAGGGGGAAGTCGGCAGGGTGGTGGGAGGAAGCAGGAACGCCAGAATCAGCGGCCTACCTTGCGCGGCTACCATGGCAGAGTCTTGCGACGCGGCCAAAGAGGCACTGGACGCCATCCGGGAGGCTGTTGGGGCGGGCACGACGGTGATAGGGGAGATGGCGCATACAACCGTACATGCCACCGCGTCGTCTCCGAATGCCCCTCGAGATCATCAACACTCCCCAGCAGGCAGCGGTAGGGCGGCCGCGATTGCAATGACGTCTGCTCGGGGAGGGCTGCTTGTTTCCGCTGACGAACCGCCTACGACCCATGGGGAATCACTCGCAGGGCAGGAGCACAGAGAGGGCAACGACGCACGAAATCGGGGGGAATCGGTCGACCCAGGCGATAAGAGGCCTGCCCAGCCTGTTCCATTGCGATCACTGGACGTCGAGCGCGTCGCGAAGTTGCTGCGCTTACATGGCTTCGAAGAGTACGCCCCCGGGTTTGTCGCCCAGGCCGTTGATGGGGTCATGCTGAGCGACCCTAACCTGTGCCAAGATGATTTAACCGAGCTGGGGCTGGGTGGAGGGGCAGCAGAAAGAGCCCAAGATAGCAGGGCTCGCATGGTGTCGTTTTTCCGACAATGCCAACGACACGGGGTTGTTTTCCCGGTTGCTGGAGGCTCGTCACCGTCTTTTGGAGGGAAGATAGAGCCACGAACGGATTCCGTACACAACGGCGACTCGACCTCCGACGATCGGCGACGGAACGAATCGGCTACCCTGCGGAAAAAGGAGATGGGGGGACTGGAGGGGAGCGTGCCTGGTGAAAGCAAAACGGATCGAACAGAGTCAACGCAAGATTCGCCCTGGCGGCGTGGTTCAGTGCTTGTCGACCGTGAGAACCAGCGCGTGATTGCCCAAATAAGCTTAGACTCGGGCGGCACTGGTAGAGGGGACGCAACCGCCTTCACGGGAACCGAGGGCGGCCGGCGGATGTCCGTGAAGCTCAACCAGGGGGTGGTGATAACTGCGGGCGGCCGAGAGGCTGGGAGTGTGGAGAATATGAACGAGTTGCCGGCTATCAACGCCGAAGAAGGGGAACTAGCAGCATCACCAGACGCAGCAGCAGAGGCGGCAGCAGCAGGGAAGGGGCAGGGGGGGGGGGGGGG